GGTTGTGATAAACCTCTACACGACCAACTGCTGAGGTGTTGACGCCAGCTAAACGAACCTCTGACCCAAATAAAAAAACAACGAAAATAAAACTTTTCATTCAAGTGTGTGAAAACGACAGGGCAGTACTCGGATCTTTCTCAGTTTCCCAACGGAAATTCGAAAAAGACGAGTCCGGAATCCCACAATCTGTGTCATACATTAYAAACATAGTGATTTCGCATCAATTTAAAGACTCATTTGTATCCAACCAGGGCTTTCGATTTTTCGTTTGGAAAGTGACAACTATATAGGATCTGGGTAYGAGAATTGCAGCAGACATGGGCTCTCTGCAGTTCATGGGATTGCGGTTCCTAAAACGGTTAAGGAAACAGAGAATTCTAGTTTACAAAAGAAGCACCGTTATCAAGTGTTTTATAAAAATTGTTAGAAGATTCCCAAGACAAATAATTAAACCAGAATTGACGTTTAGCCTGAACGAAATGAAGCTAGGAACTGGAACATTTCAACATCCATCCGTTCTTCTTTATACTCGTTGCCTTTAACTTTCATTGCAAAGCAATAGAAAGTCGCTTTCAAGTATGAAAAGAATTCTCTAAAATTAACATGCAACGTGGAATTGCCTAGACAAATGAAATTTCTCAAGAACAGTTCCTACAAGAAAAATATCAATCGAAATGAATTTTACTTAACGTACCTGGAATTGGTTGTGTAGAAATCGTGGTTGTAGGACGAGCGGTAGTAGGAGCAGTAGTGTGAGCGGTAGTAGGAACAGTGGTTGTAGGTTGAGCGGTACTAGGGGCAAAAGTGGTAGACTGGAAGTGTTTGCACCACAATAATACGTCTTTATCATGACCACAATCCGTTTTGCCCCATCCGTTAAATGGACAATCTTTCAGTGACCTTTCTGTGCCGTTACATTTTACTTCGTCCATCCAGATAACACCTTTGCCTTCAAGGGCAGGTATAACTCTCTCGGTGTGCTTCACAAAATCAAATCCCAACTGGCGACATACAACAATGGCATCGTTGCTATCCCAGTTATCGTAACATACCGTCCCCCAAGAATGGTTGTGATAAACCTCTAAACGACCAATTGCTACGCTGTTGGCGCCAGCTAAACGAACCTCTGTTAAAAAGAAAAATTTTAAAGGAGCATTCAATTTTTTTATGAGAGTGGTTGGTCTGGAGGGAAGTATTGAAGGAATGAGAGAGGAAAAGAGGAGAATTGAAGTCGTSTATGGAGAAAATAACAGTAATGAGACTCGAAATAAATATGCACACCTGGTTGAGGTGCTGTTGTAGGAAAGGTTGCTTGTGTTGTAGGTATAGCTGTTGTTTTTGTCGATACATTCATACAGCTAACTCCAACGTCTTCTTTATGACCGCAATCAGTCTGATCCCATCCAATGAATGGACAGTCTTTCAGGGATGTCTCATTACCGATACACTGTACTTCATCCATGTGGATTTTCCCTTGACCTGGCATAAAGCTTCCAACAGTGGCAGTAAAATTGACTGTCTGGAACCCCAACATTCGACAAGCAACGATGGCATCCTTTTCATTCCAATTATCATCACAAACAGTTCCCCACTCTCCATTATAGAACACTTCAAGTCTTCCATAATCATTGCGATTGGCACCAGTTAGTCGGGCTAAGAGCAAATTATTCAAGGAATTTATTTTACTTGAAAAGTAAAGATATAATAATGACAAAATAAAGGCTTTTTGCTTTCATCTTTACTCACCTAAAATTATAGAGGATCGTGTTRTCGGTCGCTGTGTATTTGTAGTCAATTGTGTTGTGGTAGGAGGCTGTGTTGTTGTTTGCGGTTTTGTTGTACTTGGTGTTTGTGTGGTTGACCGCCCTCGTGTTGTTGTTGTTGTTGTTGGCTGTGTTGTGGTTAGTGGCTGTGTGGTACTGGGTGGTTGTATCGTGGAAGTTGTGAAAGTTATTTTGGTTGTCGATGGATAAACACATTCAACCCCAGCATCCATATTGTGATTGCACTTGTTATTCCCCCAAACACCATGAAAGCATTCACCGAGGTTATTCTCGTTCCCAGTGCAATCAACATCACTTAACCAAATTGGACCGGTTCCTGGTGTGCATTGTCCAATACACAAAGCTTTACTGGCGCCTTGGAATCCCATCATTCGACACGCAACGTTAGCATTTCTTATCGTCCATTTGTTATTGCATATTGTCCCCCACAAACCATTGTGGAATACTTCTACACGTCCAGATGTTAAAGAGTTACCAATAATTCTTAATTGGATTGGCACTTCTGCAGAAAATGCAATGAGTAAATCAATTAATCCCGTGTCTACATTACAGGCAMTGTAAGGAATGGCACAATCTCTGTTATCTTAGGTTTGTTCGGTCTTCTGACATATTTTAGAAAACAGCACAAAAGATRGGCACAATGTGCTTTAGGGTGAACTTTCTCAATTCTAAACAAAACTACATTACATTTTRCTCACCTTTGAAATCTGGAACGATAATGCTTTTCGATGATGGAAAACCGCTAATATACGTGCACCTATATCTCGTTTCTTCGATGTCAGTRACATTGTAAATTTCTATCCCTACCCCAGCACCGTCTTGAAAAGATATGCGTCCATTATTTGAAATAACCTTTGATAATTGAAATTCCGGTAGTTTCACTGCTAAAGTTCTCCAATTACCGCTGTAAAGATACCGTTCTTGCTCTATGATAATCAAAGAATAAAGGGACGCTTGTTGTTGCTCAAAATTCGTTAAAGTATATGTCCAGCGAAGAGTAATGTTTCCACCAGGTTCAACATTCTTAGTAGTTGTGTGCGTCGTCCATGTTAAACCACTTACTGTGAACATAAATAGAATGGGATTTTCTTACTTGAACATGCTATTTAATCTATTTGTAAAACTAATTTTCAATTTTCATAATTTTCTACTCATTCATTTTGACCTATTTGAATAATACTACAGACTTTTACGTTAAAGTAATTTACATCAGCCACTCTTTTGTACAACTGACTACTATACAAAGGAAGCTGTTAAACTACACACAGTTTTCTCATTTTCTTGGTCAATCGAATGTACTTGTATATCTACAAACTACGAATTGATTGGCCGAGAGTGCAAGGCTAAATCTGATAAGTTTTTCTTTTCCAAAGGCYATAGTGCCTTTTAGACAATGAACACTTAGACTATGTTTCTAGTTTCTTGTTCTGYCAACGGCAGAGAGTGCTGGTCCCGGTCTTTCGTTAATTTAGGTACGATAATCACTTTTCACAAAATGCTCGAATATACCCTGAATGACGCCTGGCGCCAATCTTGATATTATTACTCTAGGGAAGTGTGCTTCGTTAAAAATGGAAATCTCAGTAAGACAGTAATAACTTAGTTTCCAGGTCTTTTTCTCTTTTCGACTTAATAAATACATGTATAGCCCTAGTGAACATGGGAATGTTGAAAGTTCAAAGATTGAAGTACAGGAGATTAGGTAATCTGTTCTACTTAAGTTTGATATTTGCCAACTTTAGTTGTTGACGATTTGACGATTTTGGGTTACCGTATGCACCATTACAATCATTAACAAAGTGATTTGATCCTCATTTTCTTAACAATTGCCATAAAAAGTCATTGTTGCAGATTATTTATWATGAATTGGACTGTTTTTGACATTAGCCAGTCTAATATTTGATATAATTTCTTATTCCACAGGTACATTAATTCTCCATTGATCGCAAATTGACACGTACAAGCACATCCTTTGTAAGTGATAGCTCTTAGTGGGCATTTGACCTCATAATATGCCGGATGATAATATTTTGATGTTTAATTTTTACAACGACATACTTTCTGAGGAAAGTGAACTCAGTATGACGCATGACTCGAAAAATTGATAATTTCATATGATCGCTCCAGTTAAAACATAAAGTATTAAAAACTCTTACAAACTCGCCTAAGTCAAGTCTTCATTGACCTTGACTAACTGAAGTAATTTCTACTTTTCAAAACTCGAGAGAAATAACATTAAGTAGTAACCAAATTTTCAGACTATATCTGACTACATAAAGMCGCTAGACTAAACGCTAGGATATCTTCATACCGATCCGAAGAGAATCAGATAATTTTAGTGTAATCTTCAAAAATCAATTATTTGCAATCAAACAATTTCTCCAGTGATATTCGTTAAACTTCTTCTGTAGTTTGGAACTGAATTGCTGATTCTAGAAATGTCGTCGATCATRTTTACCGTTCGCTCTAGCATTTGTATACCGGAAAAATTTCCTGTAGTCATAGTTTTAACATTTCTTCACGTAAGCTGAACTGATTATAGCTGACGATCGCTGCAATATTCAGCAATTGTAGTGTTCTAGAACTCTATATACATTGCGTGGCTTACCTCGACTTTGTACAATCAAGATTAACACCAAGAAACTAAAAATCTYCATGTTCTTTTCTGTTTTCTGCTATTAAATTGTCGTTATCTCGTAAAAAAAATTGTTTTGACAGGGATACGTGGTTTCTGTCATCAATGGCTATGGAAATATTTAATCCTCTTGGGAAGGTATTGTTTTTCCACATCATTGCATTTCCGCTATGAAATGACGCTGGCTAAACTATCATACCTCTACCTGTTGTCATTGGTGACGTAACCTAGGAAATTTATCCTTAACGATTCGACAGATAAAAASCTATGGCCATTAATCTCAAGAAAATCTATTTTTAATGCTAACAAGTATCTTGCAACTATAGTTTTTCACTCTAATAAACACCTTATGTCAATGTTTACAGTAAGGCCGTCAGAATATAAGCATACTACTGTACGTCATAACATCCAGACCAATTGTTCACCTCTCCTTTTGTTAAAGACCACTTCGGGTGGTTTACCTCTCGAAGATTCGTGCATTGTTTTCAAAACAAATTCATATTTGACATTTTTTGTTTGTTAGATCATCCTAGAAATGTGATTTACTAATAATATATCAAAAACTTGGTTTGATTTGCGTGCACAAACTGCTGCTTACAAACCTTTCACTTTTCTCTTCATTCCAAAGGCTGATGCGTATTGAAATACCGAAGGGTCTAGTAGCGCTCTATTGCCAACTGTTGCGCCCCTCCCATGGCCATTACACCACCCAAGTCATTGAACGTAAAACATTCATTGACGCAATGCCAAAACATAGCTAAAAACCATTATKAACTTACAACAAACATTTAACGATTGCTTCCCTAACTTTATCCATTTGTTTTACAATATTACTTTCTATTTAAAAGATAAATACTCTTAAAAAGTGTTTATTCCGGGCTAGTCTTGCACCAGGAAGACAAGTTCAAAATTCTTGTTCTATTTAAAGTAATTCAAACTTCTTTATATAGAACACTGAAAGGAAGCATGATAAGTCATTTAATTGTCCAACTCGATGTTGTCCTTCCGCAAGCCCAAATTAGACGAACAATTTCACGTGTTGATAGAAATTACGTGACAGGTTATCGCTCGAGACTCCTACCATTAAGSGTTATCAGAAACTAAAATTTGTGATTTGGCTTCATAGAAATAATGCCATACTCATGAACACTTGAAGAGTTTCTTGACTCCACAGCGATTTTGTCAGTATTTCAAAAAGGTAAAAATGCTACAAAAACGATSTGTGTCGACTCGGCCTTAGTTCATTGTATTTGCAATGTCCCAAACATGCCAGTTCAAAATTAACTATCATTTCAAGTTACAGTATCAAAGTGTGAGATATTTTGATGGAAGTAAGAAAGGTCCCATCTTCATTGCGTATTTATGATGCATGCAAAATATTAAGTATAATACAATTGTTTGCAAATTCCATTCAATTGAGCTAGATGTCTGAATCCACAGGAATTCCATTCGTTGAACCATCGAGTTTGAATAGGTTTTGTTCTCGTGGAGTGTATGTACCGTTTGCCATGGAAAAGTCCTGAAAGGCACAAATATACATAGGTTACAAAAATACGATTTTTAGACACCGTATATACTTAGTATAATATACAAAAAACTACAACCGATTAACTTATGAATAGACTTCTTTCGATATTCTACTTGAAAAGTCGCGCAARAAAGAACTGAAGACGAGGCTTTGGGGTAGAAAAGGATTATCTATTGATAGCCTGGTGTTCAATATTTTTTACACCGTCAGTCAATTAAAATATTAACATGGACGGAATCATGATTAAACAGTCTGGAGAGAGGTGTATCTGAAATTGTCAAACGTTGTTGAGAGATCATGAGTGTGTTGGCAGAGTTTTAAGGCATTGCGTCACCGCCCAGGACTTCGTCTCATGATTCGACAACGTTTGTGTAGCAACAATATGATGGTGTTATTTGATCCAATGTTTTACATTTATTTAAGGCTATACCCCAATGAATGACTGGATAGCAGAATATCCACATAAACACATGAAAATTCAAATTCTTGAGTACAGTATTTTACAATCTTCTAGGCTTACAATATCAATGTACTTACTGATTCAGGGCCATAAAATATCGTACGTTCTTTCGGAATGTTCGGATCGAGTTTTAAYGAACTTTCACTAGAATATTTCTACAAAAATCAAATTGATKTGATTGGAAAAAGGTACACATGGATTAATAAAGGAAACAACAGCAATGCATGAATGGACTTTCAAATGATTCAAACATGAATAACGATCAGTGTTCATTGTAGGTAGATAAATAGACATGAAGATTGGATTCTAAAGAACCATAGGCCATATCACTTACAAACACTGGGAATCCAGCATCATAAAACATCAGTTATTCAAGAAAAAGAGCAACTATACAAACTGGTAATTAGAAGAGTATTATCACTTCCTTCATACTGTACATTAAATAGATTCAGAGCTATAAGAATCGAAACGTAAGAATAAAAAGCAACAACAAACAAACGAAAACAACAAACAAACAAAAACAACAAACAAACAAAAACAATAATGAATAGTGAATGATAACAATTGATACATACTGTATCACTCCCATAGATAGCAGGACTAATTTGAGAACCTTTTGAGTCTCTTGTACTAAAAATATGATATATATGAGTTATAAACAAATAGATTAGCTCTTCCTTTACTTTCTAGTTTTATTTCATTAATTTTTTAGTTAAATTTTAATGAATCCATCTCACAATCAATCTTCAATCCATTTATCAATCAATCTTCAACCCATCAATTTCAATCAGTCAATCAATCAGTCATTCAGTTAACCATCAGTCTTATTGTCCACAAATATCACTAACACTAAATTACCACAGAATACTCCCTTTACCTTGTTTTGGTGGCAGAAGTTGCAATGCTCTGAAAATTAATATTGATATAAATTTAACATACATATACATAATAATAGAAGTATAGTGACCTTCATAAGGCCAACCGTTTGTAAGAGTGCTCAATATGGATGTAGAGTGAAATAATATATCTTAAGTTAATGGGACTTGGTTACTAGCGATGAACGTGTGAAACTTGGAGTAACTGAGTCCCATTTACTTAACATATATATATAATAATACCATACATGTAATYTGTGCATTGGTCATACTTTTTTTTTAAAAGAATCTTAATTTTTTTTGAACCTAAGTTAATCTGGTCTAATGCCTGAAAATATCTTTTGATATTGATTTTTTAAAATGTATTGWTTATGATTGACAGACAAACTTGCACTCTTTGGATCAAGCTATAAAATTGAAGGCTCTAAAATGACATTTACTTCTATACTGCTATGCATTAACAATGGGGTTAAGTACATGATGTTGTACTTACGGCATCACTCCCATACATTGCAGGCCCCAAATGAGACTCTTTCAGGTCCCTGTTGAAACACAATGCATGTCAAAAGTTGGCCAATGATGCAAAACTTTTAAGTATGTTATTTTGGAAATAAAAATAGGCGTGGGCAAACTCTGTACCAATTTCAAATGTAAACATTGTCAATTATTTGATAAAAATAACATTGTACCATACTTACCTACTACTATTTTTGGCATGGTCCTCAGCCGCTTCTTTTCCTGAAGGGAAATTTAATTAAAAAATGACATATTTTAACTTCCTCTATATGTTATTCTTTTAGGGCTTCTCATACTTAAAACCAATGGTTATTATTTGTTTAGACATTTTCTTTCAGGAAAATGTGGGAGGGAAGCGACGGATGATAYAACAAAGAAGTATTGATGMAATATACTCAATCCCATAGTACCCTTATTTTGTCACATACTTTTTARACTAAAAACAATAACGAGGACTTGAGATGTTTGTATTACTGTGGGTGTTTAATGGCTTGTAAAATACTATGTCTGATGGACTCTTGGCATCTGATAAAGTTGTTATGTAAATAAACATTCACACCCTCCAGATAGATTTGTTTGTACATGACTAATTGATACTTATGAATGCTATGGTTGTTTTAAATTACTCTCCTTGTGTTTTGTCCATTGAAGGAAGTTAAATATATTATTCTAAAGGTTTGGGGACTCCCTGTGGTAGGCCYACTCAACAGTTTTTGAAAGGACAATATTTTGTTTGTAAGACGTTGCTTGATTATTTAAATTCCTTTCAGGTTCACCATAGCAACTACCACCCACCCAAACTATTTTTGTTTGTACCTGATCTGAGTCTTTGGCACATTATAGCAGCTACTATAATAATAACTAACACAAGGACCACAGCACCAGTAATCCCAGCAATTATTTCATCAGATAACAATTTCGTTTCATCAGTTATTTTGATATCTAATGAAGAAAACAATAAAAAAATAAAACTTTTGATTTTCTGAATTATAAAATTATAAAATATGCAACATGCAACTTGATGTCCTTTTCCTACAWTTATATTTGATTGATGTAAGTTGTGTAACAATGACAACAACTGCTCCACTTTAATTTTCTATTATTCAGATGCTCTTTATCTTTTTCTATGTACTTTTCTGTTATATTTCCCTATATATACATCAAAAAATCTTCTCCCAACACATGTTACAGACATGGAGTTGGCTCAAGAGATACCTTGGACTCTTAGGGTAATTGTAGCTTTGGGACCATTTCCATAATAATTCCAGGGCATGCATGTGTATTCGCCTTTATGATGATTCAAAGTGGCATTTATCACAAAATATTGTGACGTTGAGTTCTGTATAAGTTGATTATTATGATAAAAGCTGAAACCTGGCTTTGGATTGCCTCYGGCAGTACAATTGATAATAGCTGATGACTTCTGTTTCACTGGATCAGTTGGTGCATATATTTTGGTGTCAACTGGCCTATCTGGAAAGTCAAATGATTATAACATGTTAAAATTTTTTACTAGTAATAAACATGTGTACCTACTATATGTAATACAAACATAATTTATGAATAAATGGGACAAAGAAAGCTCATCAACCCGATGTAAATAAACTATATACCCTATGCTTACAGTTTTGGTCGTATTCTATGRCAACAGGAGTTTTGATTGACAACACCATGCAAAATGTTGTATATGTCAATGCTTCAGTTTTGAGTACATGTCTTTGTATTCGATGGCTAGATTGATGAGGCYATATGAATTTATTATTTTAATCAAATGAGAAGTTGATTCAGTTGACAACTATACTTACAAACTACATTGACTTTTATAACTGATGGTGATGCATAAAAGCTGCTTTTCAATTCACACTGGTACTGGGTATCATCTTTTACTCCAACATTATATATTGACAGAGAATTATTTTTCAAACTAAATTTGTCTTTGTTAGGAAAGAGAATCTGAGGTAGAGAACTGTTGAGGCCAGATATATGGGTTGATGCTGTCAGTGCTTCCCATTGTTTACTTCCAAATGGTGCTTCTCTGCTCCACAGGATAGCATAGAACTGCTGAGATTGTTGTTGTTCTTCCTTGGAAAGTGTAAACTGACAAGGCAGCTTGGTATTGGAACCAAGGTAAGCATTGATCACATGACTTGACAGTTGAATAGGAGACCATTGGAAAGCATCTAGAAGAAWAAAATATTCATGTGGAAGATTAATAATTTGTACTCAATGTATTAGATGACAAATAGCAGTACTGAGTATTGTGTTGGTTATGCAATTGTCTTTATATGTGCAACTATTCAAAGCAAATGCGTTCCCACTTGACTTCATCAAAAAACTAATAAATAAAACTAAGTTACTTATCAAAATCTCCTGGTCAATACATATAAGCTTAACTTAACAGCTTGGTCAATGCACTAACTTTTTATTATAAATTTTAAACTAATCGTTTGATTTCCCGTATTTTGAAAACTTTTCATCAATCGTTGAGACATGGATGTCAACTTAGACCAAAACTTAGATTGACCATCTTACTTGCTTTTTAACTGCTTATTAAGTCTTAAAGTCAATATTCAATTAAAAAACTATTTAAAATACCTGTAATTGGAGTTGTTGATATCACTACAAGCAGAACAAGAGTATTTCTCTCCATCATGTTCGTGATTTCAGTTATTTTAGTTTTCGTCGATGACAGCAACTTGAACTATGCGAGTCATTTGTTCTAGCTAATCAATCATCTATACGAATATACGAATCGTAGCCGAATGACGTCCGAAAAATGACGTCCAACGAAATCGAAAAGTCTGGATCCGGAACAAGGGACAATGGAATGTGTTACTAAGGAATGATTGCTGTTTAACTATGGAAACGTTCACGACCGTTTGAGTGGGATGTGAAGGCCATTTAATATTGCAAAATAAAAAAAAGTTAGACACTAGGTTCTCAACACAGCGATCCTATATTTATGGCTTATGGAATGGTTTTATGCCGTTTTTCCTTTCGATCTTTCCGTTATAATCTTAGAAATGGATTGCGAATGGATGGTATTTGAACCATTTTCCATACAAGAAAAATCTACCACCAGACTTTTAAGTAATTTTTACTCTTTATTGTGCTCGTTTTAATTTTTGTTTTTCAATGTATCACAAATATTTTTGTAGCATGCTCAATGCGCAGYGGCACTATTAGTATGATGATCGAGTGGARAAACTCCGCTCACCAATCTAGCCTCTGCGCAGGCTATTATTTTTGAAAGAAACATTAATAAAACTTATGAGGTTTTACAAAATAAAAAGTAAATAGGTGTTAGTGCTCTAATGTGCAGGCTGGTTTATAAAAACCACTCTATACCGTCTCTGCTGCTGCTTATCAATTACTGTTCGTAGAAAATACAAACTAGCAAACAAAACAACAGCAATGAACAAACTCAGTCTCAGGTAAATAAAGTGAGGAAAAGTTGAAAATTTTTAAAGAATCAAAGCAAAGCAAAGCCCGACAACAATTACTCAACATATAGACGGGGTTTCACGTAGGTTATAAATTATTAATTCTCCAACTTTTGTATAAAATCAGTTCGAAACCGTGATAGTCAGCTATTGTAAATGATGTTAAAATGGTGTAGAGGAGCCGGCTGAAGCTTTCATGGAGATTGAAGAAATTGCCCCAAAGCAGGTTCCAAGACACAAATTATTAATGATCAATTAGTCGATCAGTATAGAATTGTTATCTTTGACAAATGAAGACATTGTTATATTGCGTCGCTAGTATATTTTGTCATTAGTTGTAAATTGATCATATTAATAATATTGTGTTAGGATGCTTTTTAGAGGTCATCCCGCTTCTGGTGATTGAATATGTTCCCAACCGGCTCATAATAATGGAAGCCTTGTCGAGCTTGCGATTTCCCTTCCAATGACGTCACGTTGTTCATTTCGCAGCTACGGGTCACGTGATTGTAGTTGATTGACTTACAGAGCGCGTTCGTCCCGCAGTAGCTTATGCACAAGTACAAATCATCAACTGACGTTTCGGTATAAACCGCATATTGTCTCGACAGTGGCAGGCTATTCGGTGAATTTCCGTAGAATAACTCTTTCATCCTCCAAGTGCCGCCACCTGCAGAATATAACGTAATAAATTCCTCTAATAGAAATTCCTCTAATAATTCCTCTTGTAATAATGCTATTCTCATTGTCCGGATATTTGACAACAGTGACTGCGTTTTATTCAGGTAATCGAATGTTGAATCAAGGTCCGTAGCCAGAGGAAAATGTTAACCGAGGCACTTTATCTAGGGGTGGTTTGGGGACATGCTTTCCCGGAAATTTTGAAATGTGAATTCCAGAAATTTGCCATGCATGCTGTGGCATTGTTATCGTACACCATAATTGCTCGAACTTCTTTATTTTGTCTACGAAATAAAGAAAACTCGATTGAATTTTACCGAGGCATGTGCCTCGCTTGCCTCATGGTAGCGGGAGATGCGGCGCTGTTGATAATCTTAAAACACCTCAAAGCAGTTTAAAGATCAATCGGCTATACTTCTCATCAGCAATCGACTTTTTAAGTTGCTGGCCTAACCCAGAAAAAAAATTAAATGGATATGATTTTAGTGCTACGGAAAATAAACTTTCTTTCAGGTGAACGTTGCATTGTTATTTTTAAGAATGAGTTCCATTCAGCTTTAATTTCTTCTTTATTTACTACTAGCATCTTCCTTATCTCTATATTTTTAAATCTTAAAATGGGGGGTGGCTAGCCATCCTATAATATCCCTCCTAGATCCGTCCATGCCAATGATCATGCCAATAGGCGTGGTGGTGAGGGTGGGGATTATTAAGGTTGCTAGCAAACCCCCCTTTTAGTGATCAAAAATAATTAWAATTATAATTATGAATAAATAATAAAAAAATATAATGTGAATGGCACTCATTCCTAAAAACAACTAAAGCCGCGTAAATCTCACGGTTTGGGTCTGGCCCYGACTTATGTGCCGTGACCGTACCGTGCAGACACGGCGATGTATTTCTTAAAATAGGACTTTTATTTGGAAACACTAACAGGAGAGGTTTTYTCACCGTGAAGTGTCRTGTCCATRCCGTATTCAGTGCCGTTCCACACTCATATGAATATCCCATTTYCGAATTAAAAGCGAACAACCGCTGCTTTATTTGACAACAGATTCTCTTTACCTTACAGTAAACTAAAGAAAACACGAGAAAATTTTCCTCTTACAATTCTTCGTTTTCAGGTTACGTCACAGCGGCCATCTTGGAGGAACTTTAACAAAGTATTTCTCATTAGCATCTATTGTTCACTCCACCAACATGGCCGCCGGTCTTATATCTTTGGAATCTCATTGGAATGGTTGAAAATGATCAAYAGCTTTGAAAATTTTCTTTTCCTACGAGTTGACTGACTAACCCTGTATTTCCATGAGACTTAAGGTTCAAGCCTTCTGGGAATACAGGGTTAGCCTCAACTCGGGAAAAATGTAAATTGATAGCGTTATTGTACTTACAACATTTTCTCATGCTTTCCTTTGTGTGGTAAGGTCTTTGCGTAAGAGAATCTACTGTCAAACAGCGGTTATTCATGCTTTGCATTCTAAAATGAATATTTTCGGTCCTAAAAATGATTTGSCATTGCTGGTTTAAAACGTTCCAGTGCAACTTAAGAGAACAAATTAAAAAAGATCGGTGGTAGCCTGAGTATCAGGCTCTCTCGAGGGGGTTTGGGGGGGAGCCCTAAACCTCTTCGAGAGAGCCAGAAGTACATAACCAGAAGTGTCCATCTCCCCAATAATATCGCAATGTAGCAAAAGTATTTCAAGAGCAATATGGTCTGCAAAAACTAGGGAAAAGTTCAGACAAAGATGAAGAAAAATGTTTTAATACTTTGTCTGAAATTTTCCCTTGTTTTCGCAGACTATATTGCTCTTGAACTTCCTTTTCTACATTGCTCATATAGTAAATTATGTTTTCTATCGAATTCAAAAATGGTTGTTCAGCAAAAGGTGTAAAATTCTCGTAAATGCGAACTTCAATTCGTTCGCCTCCATCGACTGCATAATTTTCCTTTCTTGTCCGCTCTTGAAGTAGATCAACAAGGACCAATCAGGTGCCGTGTAATATGTGCGCGCGTTGTGATTGGTTGTCTAAAAATAGATTATCGGGACATCTGATGGTGGCGATATTATTGGGGAGATGGACACTTCTGGTTATGTACTTCTGAGAGAGCCTGATAGTCAGGCCATRTCGGTGGCCGTGTTGTTGGTTTAGCAGTAAATCATATGAAATTTATGGCTAATGTACTATYAACTTGGCTGCCATGCATGACGTATTAAAAGGCTGAAAATCAACAATTTGCTAGTTACGCTAGAGAATGTAAAGGCAATTATCTAATATTATGGAAAAGCTTTAAACATTAATGCTATTTACCAGTCTCGTATACTGCATTGGTKTCTTTGGTACAGTTACATGTAAAAGGGTCTGCTTTGCCATATCGACCATAGCTAACTCCACATGTGCAACGGYTGTCATTTTGTACAGCGGCATATGCATATCCACTTGATTGACAAATCTTAAGACATCGATTGGTGKTCGCTGTTGTTTCCAGACCCCATAAATCACGCGGTACACTTTCTTTATAACAACCCAGGAATTTCGCGTAATGTGGAACTGCAATATGTCAAAATGGTGAATGGTTATTTTGATGTTCAACTCATAAATTTGGCTACCTTCACACACAGTTACTGTAAAACTTGATCAACAATGTAGTCTGCTCGGSWGGCAATGTTTCATTTTGCCCTTTTGGGATCCCTCTGGTATCCTCTTGGTCAAGCGGGGATCATATTGAGRAAGACAGGAAGCCCGAGAGTAGAAKWACGAGYGTATAAAAGAAGAGAGATTAWTGAGATTATTGCGGAGRAAGCTAACGAACATTTGCCTAKTACTATTAAGTCGGATTGGATTGTATGCAATTAAAAATTATTTTTAATTTTTATGATCAGCGTTTTTACAATCGAATACTTCCCTCTCAACATCAAATATGGCCACCAATGCTCATATAGATAGATCAGAGGYTGTGTCATGGCTAYTTTTACAATGGAAATATTAGATATTAAAAAATTACGAAAGAAAAGGGTAGGCGATAGTGTAGGTCATAAGGTTTTGTTCCAACCCTGTCCAAATATTGTCAAACATTTCAGTCAAAAATTTATAGTCCTTATAAAGCTSGTCCAAAACATTTTAACCCTCACCAAGCAATCATTAAAAAACGTGCCTCTCCTTTCAATTTAGTTATATTTATGTAAAAGAATCACAAAATTTTCATAAGAAAAGAACGAGTCAATTTTCGGAAAATTCAAGTTTTCGCAAAAAAAGTAAGGTTTTAAATAATATAAGTACATATGTTATAGGTTAGAGAGTTTATGAATGAAACTCGTCAAACCTCTACAGGCCTGTTATAGGTTATATACTTCTGATAACATGTGAATATTTCTTTTAAGATCTGATATAAACAACTATATATCTGATCAATAAAATACCTATACAGTAAACAGCATTTCTCCAAGTTCCACCACAAGCTAGTGCTGCGTCTCCACTGCAAGGCAAGTTACAATCTTCGTCGGGTTTCTTTTGGTATTTACCGTACTTGTTACCACAAGCACAGCTACTTC